GGAATTATATTTCACATCTTTTTTTTTTTTTTTTCTGAGACAGGCTCTCTCTCTGTAGTCCAGGCTGGCCTTGAACTCACTCTGTAGCCTAGGCTGGCCTCAAACTCACAGCAATCCTCCTTCCTTAGCCTCCCAAGTGTTGGAATTACAGGCAAGCACCACCACACTTAGCATATATTTCACATTTTAATGAGATAATACCTTTTCTTAAAACTAACTGGTTGCATTAAAAAATTCATAATTCAAACCATGTTAAAAATTCTTATTTTAAAGAGAATAGAAAAGAACAATAGTAAAATAACAACAACATAGACAAAGAACAAAACAAAGCAAAAACAATAACAATGATACAGGGTTTCAAAACAAAATGATAGGAATTAGCAGTGGTTGTTATAGTACATACTGTTATCTTCAACAAAGTTGCTCAGATTACCTCAAACTATTTTTAACAGCACTCATAAAGTGGTTTTCAATTCCATGAACAGCAAGATCCAAAATGAACTTGAAAAATATAATTTTATCATTTTTTTAAAAAATCTGATTAATAAAAAAAGAAAAAATATTCAAAACCCCACCCACAAGAAATAACCATGATTAAATAGGTTGGTATTTATCTTTATATGTCCTTTTAGACATTTAAAAACTGGGCATGCTGAGGCATACTATAGTTCCAACTACTCAGGAAGCAAAAGCCACAGGATCCTTTGAGACTACCCTGAGCAGCAACATAGACACGCCATCTCAAAACATCAATAAAACTGTACATAGCTTTACCATTGGAGGATCATTTGAGCTATGAATTTGAGACAAGCCTGAGCAATAACAGTGTCACACCATCTCCAAAAATAAATACAACAGTATATAACTTTATACGATGCTTCTTTTTATAATGATATATGAAGCTGTTACAAACAGATTTCCAGACCACTGATTTTCAGTGAGGCATTGCTTAACAAGTCTTCCAGCAAAGTAATGTCAGCACCAGATGAACTGATACACAGAGCAAAAGGGCTACATATACTGTTAAAGCTGATGCGCCCAATGACCTGCAAAACAGATAAATGGGGCTTCTTCTTCATGCCCTTGTGTTTTAACCATATTACGTTTTATCCCTCTGCAGCTTTTTATCCTGTTATGTAGCCTGCAACCCCAACTCTTTCCCCAGTGTCTAAATCTGAATTAGTGTTGAACCACTGAATTATTATTTGTTCTTCTCGAAATTCAGCAATGTAGCAGGATTCAAAACAAACACACAGAAATCCATAGTATTCCTATACACTAATAATGAACTCAATGACAAGGGACTAGGAAAACAATACCACTCACAATAATATGAAAAAATTAAATACTTAGCAATTAACCTAACCAAGGAAAGGAAAGATCTCTATAATGAAAATTCCATCAGTCTGAAAAAGGAAATTGAGGACGCGAGAACATGGAAAGATGTCTCCTATTCCTGCATAGGCAGAACCAATATAATCAAAATGGCTACAATTCAAAAACTGATATACAAATTTCATGCAATTCCAATCAGAATGCCAATGACATTTCTCACAGATCTAAATAAAACAATCCTAAAATTTATGTGGAACAAGAGATCCAAAATAGTAAAAGCAATCCTAGGTCACAAAAGCAAAGCAGATGGCATCACAACCCCAGACTTGAAGTTATACCATAAAGCTATGGTGATTAAACGAGCATGCTACTGCTGTGAAAACAGGTCTGAGCATGAGTGGGATAGAATAAAAGAAACAGAGACAACTCCAGGTACATACAGTTATTTGCTCTCTGACAAAGGAGTCAAAAACGTACATGGAGGAAAGAGAACCTCTCTAATAGATGGTGCTGGGAACATTGTCTGTCCACATGCAGAAGATGGAGGCTAGACCCATATATCTTACCATGTACTAAGTTAAAATGAAAATAGTTCAACGATCTAAATGTTAAAACAGAAATACTTAAGCTGCTGGAAGGTAAAATAGCTACAGGGCTTGAAGACAGGTGTATGCCAGGACTTTCTGACTAGATCTCCCGTTGCACAAGAAATAATATCAAAAATCAACTAATGGAATCATATCAAATTAAAAGCTTCTGCACAGCAAAGGAAACAACCTACAGAATGAAGAGACAGCCTACAGAATGGGAAAAAAGTTTGTCAGCTATTCCTCAGACAGAGGACTACTATATAAAGAATATATAAAGAACTCAAAAAAATTAGACTCCCAAAAATAAATGATCCAATCTAAAAATAGGCAAGTGAAATGAAGAAACACTTCACAGAAGAAGCAGTACAAATAGCCAATAAAAACATGAACAGCTGTTCGATATCACTGGCTATGAAAACTACCTTGAAGTACCATCTTACCCCACAAAGAATGGCTACCACAAAAAATCTAATAGTAATGAATGCTGGTGAGGATGTGAGGAAAAAGAAACTCTTCTGCATTATTGGTAGGAATGTAAACTAGTACAACCACTATGCAAATCAGCATAAAGATTCTTCAAAAAATTAAAAAATAGACATTCCTTTTGACCCAGCTTAGGCCCCCTCTAGGCATCTTCCCCAGAGCTAAAATGATCATATTACAGATACATGCATACCCATGTTTATAGCAGCACAATTTATAATTGGAAACAGTGTATATGTCCATCAACAGATGAATAGATAAGGAAAATGTGGTATTTATACGCAATGGAGTACTACTTTGCCATAAAAAGATAACCCTGAGGGATATGTGGCAAATTGATGCAATTTGAGAACATAATATTCAGTGAAATAAATCAGACATGAACTCAAGTATTGCATGGTTACTCTTCTATGAGGAACTCAAAGTGTATTTATGCAAATTATGAGCAAGATGGAAGACAGGTAAATAGAAAGTAGAGTGAGGTTCAGATGGTTCCCAAAGTTACCTATTCCATTGTCTCAAAAATATTTTAATATATATGCTAATTTGTTTGTACTACTAGTTTTTCTTAGTTCATTGAAAAGAAACTTTTGTGCTAATATCTTTTTCTTCTTTGTAAGACAAAATCTATTTTGTCAATGTCTTATACTTGAGTAACTACTTTGAAGAAAACAGTACACAATGTATTGTTATTCTTGTTTTGTTATGAAATTTTTTTCATAAAATGAAAAAGGAAAAAATAAAACATATTATTTCCATTTAAGGTGTATAAACCAAACTTATCCACACCTCAAATTCATGTCACCTCTCCTCTTCCTCCAGTATTATTATTTTATCCTATCTAACATGAGAATTATCTTCTTCCTCCCTTTATCCTAACCAATCTCTCTTAATTAAATTATGCTTCAAAGTATCTCCTAACTTTGTTCATTCCTTTTTACTTTCTTTGTCTTCAAGCCAGTTGGCTTAAGATTACCTCACAAATGAATTTGTTTTGTTTTGTTTTTCTTATTTTTTTTTTTCTGGTGCTGGGAATCGAACTCATGACCTTGTATTTGCCAGGCAGGTGCTGTGCCGCTGAGCTAAATCCCCAGCCCTCTACAATTTGTTTTGTTTTGTTTTGTTTTGTTTGATAAATCATGTTTTGTTTTGTTTTGTTGTTTTTTTCTGCTACCGGGAATTGAACTCACGACCTTGAGCTTCCCAGGCAGGCGCTGTGCCGCTGAGCTAATCCCCAGCCCCTCACAAATGAATTTTGTCAACAATATCTTGAATTAACTTAGGGTTCCTTTGCCCTTACACCTCTCCTCTTCTTAGACTACTCTTACACTGAAAGGAGACCTGCGCTTGAAATCACCAGCACAAGGTTAAATTCCCTCCCTGGCACCTGATGTTGACCTAGATTCCTCTTTCTGGCCCAGGAGTTTCCCTATCTGCAAGAAGGCAGTTAGAACATCTTCCGGCCTCTAAACTGCCTTGCACCTCCAACAATCTACTCTGACTTTGCCCAAGCAATGGCAGTGACAACCTTTTACCCACCAGGTCACAACCTTTACCATTTTTACCAGTTTTCAATTTGACTGTCCTTTACATTCTTACCGCTTGCTTCACATTCCAATGAGCCCCTCACTTTCCACTCGAAATATTTGTTCCTTATATTATTGTTCTTTTCTTTCAGTTAAGTTATTCACTTTAGAAACATTTATATAATGACTTTCAATACACAAGGCATTTTCCTAGTTCCTGGGAATAGAAAAGTAAAAAACATAGTCCTTATTCTCAACGAATTTATCTTATTGAAGATAAGGGTAAGCAACAATGAAGTTGTTAAGTGCTACTGTTAGTAGTTTATTATTTTATTTATTTATTTAGTCTTTTTGAGGCAGGTTCTCTCTATGCAGCTCAGGCTGGCCTTGCGCTTACTTTATAACCCAGGCTGGCCTCGAACTTGCAAAGATCCTCCTGCCTCAGCCTCTGGAGTGCTGAGATAACAGGCGTGCGCCACCACGTTCGGGGGGCGGTAGTGAGGAAAAACAGAGCATAATAAGGTAAAAGTATGCAGGAAAGCTTCAGAAAAAAAAAAAAAAAGATGCAGTTAGTCCGACCTGCTGTTAAAAAGGAAAATAAGAATAAAAGTGGGGGAAAAAATGTGTGCTATTGCTGCTGCCCCGAAGGGCATTTTAGGGAATGGAAGTCTTTTTAGATAAGGGCGTACTGGAGAATCCTGGAATGTAGGGGACAAGCGGCAAATGGTGACAAGGGTCGTGATGAATGGTCTTGAATGTCACCCTGAGTCTGGGTTTTGTCCGAGGGAAGTTTGGAATACGTTCTGTACCTTGATGCACATCATTCTTTTTCTGGTCTGTTACAGGGAGCAAGGTGGTTATTGGGCACTCAACACCGATGACAGGAAGGAGGAACTTGGAGGTCTGAAAAACAAAAACAAAACAACTGTCTACTGTAGGTCCTGTAAAGTCATGAGGTGACTAATGCCTCTCGGAATGCATCAGCCTTGGCCCCTCCTCTTAGCCCCAGGCCACCGAGAGGGGAGCTGCCTGTGACTCCGCGAGATTTTCCGCGAGGAGCCGCGGGCAACCCGGAGCATCATCTGGTCGCCTGGCAACCGCCCACGGCTCTAGCTCCGGAGGCGAAACTCACCAAACCGGAGTTACTGCCCGGACTCGTCCAGCCCGCGGTGAAGAGCCCTAAGGGAAGAAGCCTGGGGAATCGAGGAACCCCTGGAGTCATGTTTCTCAAACTTGCTGGCCAGTAAGATTTTCCTGGGACACGTTAACATGCAGGTCTCTGGGCCTATCTCTAGACACTAGAATTGCCAGGAAACAACGATAACAACTGGAAGGCTATATTTTTAACGAGTATCTAGGATCAGGCAAAGTTTGGAATCACCTGTAGAGAAGGAGGCATGACTTCGGGGTGGCCACGGAGGGAGGGAGCTGGTGGGCGCGCACCTGTGTTTGAAGGGTTTAGAAATAAAAGCTTGAGAGCTGAAGCCGACGTAGAGCTTCCGAAGCCACGGGGCATGGGGCTCACTGCACACAACTACAGGTGGGAACTAAAGCCAGAAAACGTCGTCCATCTCCTCTGGCCGTGGGATCCCTGGGGATTGAAAGCCTGCGGTCCTTTAAAATTCATTTCCCAGAGCGCCTATAGAGCAGCTCACTGGGATCTGTAGAGATATCCTAGAAAACCGTCCAAGGAAACAGAATATTGGGGGCGGGCGAGAGGTTGGAAAAGTACTTTCTGAAACGTTAGAAAACAATAAGAAAACCAAGGCGCCTTCACAAGTATTGGCTTTTTAATTACAATGTTCTAAAATGAATCCAAATCCACACCACCAAATTCAGTTTAAATTCCTAAAGCTTATAATTTCTCTAAAAGGAAAATTCAAGACCAATAAAGTTTCAATGAATATTACTTTAGCAAGATGAATGGCGCTGTTTTGATGAAACAATTCTCTCTTGGACTGCTACCGTGCAGTTTTTGGCCAGTTAACAGTCTCTGCTATTTTGCCTTGTGGTTTAATTCATTTCTCTCCCTTTGCATATTTCAAGCCCATGGAAAGTTTTCCAATAGCTTTCTTTATTAGGTTTGTTGGCCTTCCCTTGCTTTAATAAATACTTCATTTAAATGTTTCTTTTCTGAAACACTTAAAAAAATTTCTACATAAACACCATTTTACAGAAACAATATAGTAAAGAAGCTAAGAATATGCAAACCTAATATATGCTGTTCTGGCATACTGACAATTTTTCTTTAAAAGCACTTGGAAAATGGCAGGTCCAAGATCATTCTGATCTTCAGTTTGTTTCTGAAAAGCAAGAGGTGAAACTCCATGTGAAAGATTCTGTCCCTATACTAAAAGTTATTCTTATCAAGGACAGAAAGTCAGGGCACAGGGAGATCTGTGCAAACATTTTCAGATACTTCTCCATCAATCAACTATACTGCCCCAACCCCCCTTTCCTTGTCGCATTTTCACAATGTCCTACTCTTTAATTCAGTAAGTGTTCAACTCTGTGCTTATGTAATAGTTTATTCCTGCATTTCTCATGCCACATGAAATTTGTATTAAATAAATCTATATGCTTTCCTCCTGTTGCTCTGTAAATTTCTCAGGCCCAGCCAAGAGGGGAAAAAAATATCTTCAAGAAGATAGAGGTAAAATTTTCTACCTTTGCAAGAGCAGTCATTTGTAAAGAGTCGGATAATCCAACATTTGTTTTAGCCACATTAACAGCCTGAAGCAAAAACCCATGCTAGCACTTTTATTGGGTTGCAGTCCCCTGGAAGCAGGCGGGAGGGAGAAAAGGAACTGGGCAGAGATGGCAGGAAAGCAAATGTAAGAGCATGTGTAACCCAGAATGTTTGTGGGGGGAGCTTTTGAAAACAAAGTATCTCGCTAAGGTCCATGGGAGAGGAGAGAATAACTCATTTGTGACTAAATCAGTTGTGACTCCTCTTTCCCTTTGGCTGAAGTTACCTCCCAGGGATCAACTCCTTCAGAGCTCAAGGGTGCTCCTGCACCGACACCAGGGCAGCAGTCTCCCCCAGCTACAAGGAGGAAGTCCTGCGTGAGCAATCTCTTTACAATATGTATTTTCACCTTAATTATCCATGTAAAAAGATAATTGAAATTTCCAGAAAAAGTTGTAGATTTTAAAATATAGGCTCAAAGTATCATAAGTCAATGATATCTCTTGAAGACATAAGGGTAGGCAAAGACTTTCTGAGTCACATCCCATTGTATCGGCCATGGTGGTGCACATCTATAATCTTAGCACTTGGGAGCCTGGGGCAGAAAGATCACCAGAAGTTTGAGACCATCCTGGGCTAGTAAGTTCAAGGCCAGCCTCAACTACATGGTGAGACCCTGTCTGAAAAAAACCAAACCAAACCAAACCAAAACAAAACCTGCTGTGCAAGAAATAATGCCAAGAATCAACCACTGGGATCAAATTAAATGGAAAACTTTTGCACAGCAAAGGAAACCACCAACAAAGTAAAGAGACAACCTACAGAATGGGAAAAAATTTTACCAGCTACTCCTTAGGCAAAGGACTAACATCTAGAATATAGAAAGAACTCAAAAAAATTAGACCCTCTAAATTTAAAGATCCAGTAAATAATGGACACCTGAAATGAATAGATGCTTCTCAGATGAAGAAATACAACTGGCCAATAAATATATGAAAAAATGTTCGATATCGCTGGCCATCCCAAGAAATGCAAATTAAAAAAACATTAAGATTTCATCGGCCAGGAATATAACTCAGTGGCTCAAGTGCCTACCTTGGCAAGTGCAAGGTCCTGAGTTTGATTCCCAGTAGCCCCCCCAAAAAAGGTTTCATCCCATCCCCAAAACAATGGCTAACATCAACAAATCAACCAATAATAAATGCTGGCAAGGCTATGGGAGAACCTTTCTCCACTCTTGGTGGGAATGTAAACTGATACAACCAATATAGAAATCAGTATTGAGATTCCTCAAAAAACTAAAAATAGAAATTACATTTCACCTAGTTATCCCCCTTTTGGGTATCTTCCCAAAAGAATTAAAAACATTATACCATGGTAATATATGTATACATATTTATAGCAGCACAATTCATAATAGCTAAATCTTAGAAACAGCCTATATATGCCCATCAAAAGATGAATGGATAAAGAAATGTGGTATTTATACACAATGCAATAATACTCTACAGTAAAGAAAGATATACTTGAAGCATTTGTAAGAAAATAGATGCACCTAAAACCATGTTAAGTAAATCAGACATGCGAGCTTGAACATCACATGGTTTTCTTTATATGAAAAAGTTAATAGGATAAAGGGGGGAAAAAGTTATTGTATTCTAAGTATGTTTCTGGTGTAGGCTTCTAGTTTCACTTCAATATGGTGTAAGAGATGACTTTACAGGATTTGCACTTCTTTGATACATTAAGCTCTTTATTGTTGTTTTGAGCATGGTCTATTTTGAATTAAAAAGAAAAATCAATTCCCAGAATAGGAAAATCTATGAAGATAGAGAGCACCACAGTGGTTGCCTAGATTTAGCGGGGAGTGATTGGGAGATGATAGCTAGTAGGTAGTGTTTTGTTGTGAGGTAGCAAAAATGATCCAACTTTGTGGTCATGGCTGTGCAACTCTTACGTGCTAAACTCTACTGAATCTGACACTTTGTAAAATTGTGTGGTATGCAACTTTTAGTTCAATAAAGCTGTTATTTTAAATTAAAAAAAAAATAAATGGATGTTAAAAAACTTAAAATGAAAATATCACTGTGGAATGAGCTAAGGGTAGGATATTCTAACATCAGGGGAAAAAAAAAGAAAACTGGAAATTGATAAGGCAAGCATCCACATTTAGAATTTGGCAAAAGAAGTATGAAATAAGCCTGAAAATAGGAGGAAAGAACTTTTGAAAAGGTGAAAACAAATTAATGAAATTTAAACAGATGCAATGGTCAAGATTTTGGTCAAGAACTAAAATTGGTTCATATGAATTTGTTCAATGCTAGTAAGACGATCAAGGGAGAATGAAGAAAATACATGTTAGGAATGAGCAAAGGAAGCTATCTTTCATCACAACAGTAAAGACTGGGATATTAAAAAAGAGGAACTTTATAACAAACAAACAGAAAAACCCAAAAATCAGGGCACCAGTCATGGTGGCACATGCCTATAATCCCACCAGGAGGAGAGACTGAAGCAGGAGGATCAGTGAAAGTTCGAGGCCAGCCTGGGCTACATGGTGAGTTCAAGGCCAGTATGAACTAATAGGTTCTGTCACAAGCAAGCAAGCCAGGAAGCAAGCAAAAAACCAAACTAACTTAAAAAAATAAAAGTGAATGAGTATTATGCATTTAATTAGTTTTGGTATTTAAAATCTCTTCACTAAAAAAATTAAGTCTATAAACTTGAAAATACCAAAATGCCCATAAAAATATCTGTGAACTAGATAATCAAATAGCATCACAACAGAAAAGTCAAAACAGCCTTTCCTAAATTGCCATCTAATATAATACTCTCTTTTCTTTAATTTTTAGAAAGATAGAAATAAACAAGACCTAAACCTGCTTCTGGACATGTTATCAACAAAGCTATTGCTGGGATGTGATTTATAGAGAAATAATGGTTCGACTAACTGTGGATCTAATTGCCAAAAACAGCCATCTAAAGCCCCGAAAAGAAGAAACCACTGCACAATGCTTGAAGAAAATAACTCATATAAATTTTTCAGACAAAAATATAGATGCAATTGTAAGAACTCTGAAATTATTTCCTGTTTTTACATAATTAACAATGTAAAATTTATAAATCAGCATACCTCATACATTAACTCTATTTTGATTATATTTATTAACTATTTTATCAGTAAACTTTATTGTTTTAATCTTTTTGTTATGTAAAGTTTATTTAACTTAATCTCTATACAATATACCATTGTGCTGGGCATGTTGGTGCACACCTGCAATCCCAGCACTTGGGAGACTGAGGCAGGAGGATTGTTGTGAGTTTGAGGCCAGCCTGAACTACACAGTGAGACACTGTCTCAAAAAAAAGAAAAAAAAAAAATATATATATATATATTTGCAAATACATGGGCACAGTAGTTCATGCTTTTATTTCCAACCATTTAGGAGTGTGAAGCAGGAGGATCATTTTGCAATGGCAAGCAGAAACACTGAAATGACAGCCAAAATTTGGGGATAGATTTACTTATGTTGACAGGCACTGATCAGGGTCATTCCCAGAATATCAGGCCCCGATTTCTGGTGGTCTAGGGCTTTTATGAGATAAGCAAATAGGAAGTGCAGAGGCAGAACGGCTTGTCAATTGGGGATTGGTTTATACCAGTGATACAGTATAGGGACCAGCTATGTATTACAGTGACCAGCCATTTTATAAGAGACAGGAGCAACCAGCTCTGGAACAGGAACTATTACCTGGAAAACTAACAAACAAGTATACTGGTGGGGGTGTTATTTTTTGCTACAGTTTGGCAACACAGCAAGACCTCATCTTGTAAAAAAAACAAGTTGGTAATATATGTTTACTGTTTCTCCTACCGTTCTCTACAATGTGACAAATTAGATTAGGAAAGTAATTTCAAAGACAATTACTTATGGAATAGTCCAGAGCCTTAGAATATGTATATATATATATATATCAGTACCACAATTCAAAAGTTCAACACTGGAGCTGGATACGGTTGTGATAGAGTGTGACTGCAATCCTCAAAAAAGGTCAAAGGATGAGATCATTTTGTATGTAATTTAACTGGTTATATAAAATAGATGGTATATTGGGTCAGTTGTATGAGACAAGTTACATTTATATTAGTATCTTTTTTCTCCAATAAACATTACATTAGGTAACATAGGTAAGAGAAAATTTCTCAAAAATATATAAGCCACAGGAGGGCAAAGGATCATGTCTAGTCTGTTCACATTATTCTAAATCCCTCCATCCAATATAATGCCTAAAACATTAAGTACTTAAAATATTGAATGAATAACACCAAAGCCTCAGACAAAACTCTCCATTGGGACGTTGATCTCTTTTTCTTCTTTCTCTCTCTCTCTCCCTTCCCCACCCTTCTCTTTGCCCATCTCTCTCTCTTTTCTTGAACACTGGACACTGAACTCAGAGAGTGCTCATACATTCCTAGCCCTTTATTTTAAACAGAATCTCACTAAATTGTCCATGCTGGCGTGGAAGTTGCAATCTTCCTGCCTCAGCCTCTTGAATAGCTAGGATTACACCTGTAACTGTTGTCAAGGAAAATTTCATGTACTGGAAAAATCTTTACAAATAACAACTGCAGTCCTAAAATTACAGAATGCTAAAGCCAGAATCTGTTTTGTAATCATTATGGTCTCCTTTGGACTATGCTAAGACAAATAATGTACTTTTTATTAGTAAATGTTTGTAATACATAATGTTTTTTCCCATTCTGTAGGCTGGTTTTTTCACTCTGTTGGTTGTTTCTTTTGCTATGCAGAAGCTTTTTAATTTGATATGATCACATTTGTTGATTCTTGGTACTATTTCCTGTGTAACCAGGATTCTGTTTAGAAAGTCTTTGCTGATGCCTGACTTCAAGTTTTACCTATTTTATCTTCCAGATTTAAGTGTTTCTGCTTTAATATTTAGTTCTTTGATCCATTTTGATTTTAGTTTAGTACATGGTGAGAGATATGGGTCCAACTTCTATCTTCTGTATGTGGACAGTGTACCCAATGCCACTTATTAAAGAGGCTATATATCTTCCAGTGTATGCTTCTGGCTCTTTTGTCAAAGCTCAAGTAGTTGAATGTGCTTGAGGTTGTTTCTGCATCTTCTACTCTGTTTCATTTATTGATCCTCATGTCTGTCTGTTTTGGGTTTCTTTGATTTAGTTTTGTCTTTCTTTTTGAGACAGGGTCTGCCTATGTAGTTCCAGCTGGGCTTGAACTCACTATGTAGCCCAGTCATCCCACCTCAGCCTCCTCAGTGCTGGGATCACAGGCATATATCACCACTGCTAGCCCTTGTGTCTGTCTTTGTGCAAGTACTGCACTTTTTGTTTTTTTAATCACAGTAGCTTTGCGCAAAACCCCAAACTAACACAAAATTGGTACCGGGAGAGTGGGGTTATTGTTGTGATGTTGCCATGTGACTTGAGAGCCTTAATTAATTAATTTGGAACAGTTTTGAGAGACCGGCCAAAGAGGCAGCCCTGTATGCTGTAAACTATATTGGAGACTCTGGTTGGAGCCTGGAAAGTCAGAGTACTGATGGAAATGCTGCCGATTGAGATGAAGCTCCGGAGGCTTCAACAGAGAACTGCGTTGGCTGCTGGATCCCAGGTAGAATATTGTGCTTTGGCAGAAAGTTTGTCTTCGTTTTGCTTGTGTTTAGAGATATTGCCTGATTGGAGAAAAAAATTTCAATGTAGTCTATTGTTGGGATGGTGGCATGGTTACTATTGAGAGCTTTTGGCCACATCTGTTTGAAATTAAGAGGGAAGAGTCAGTAAGATGATATGAAAGGAGTGTGGTTGTAATAGTTCTTTTGATATGTTTCAATGTCATTTTTAGATATATATTTATAATTAAGTTAATTAATCAAAGTATTATAGTTTTAACTTTGAATTTTGATCATCCTTTAAATATTTTACTTTTGGTGCAAGAATGAGTGCAAAAAGAAAAAAATGTATGTGTGTAATTGTTATATTAATGTAAATATGAATAGACTAAGAGATGTTAACTTCCACAAATCTGCCACTAGAGTCTATGGATTAAGGAAATGTGTATGATTACCAAGTTGATCGCGGTGGATTGTGGTGGACTGACAATGGTGGTCAACTTGTAACACCCAGCTCAACTGAGTAGGCGTGGTGCTGGGTGTGGGAGGCCCACCTGAGGATTGTTGCCAGCAGCATCAGAGGCAGAACTGGAGAAAGAGAAGAGAGGCTTTTGGGAGCTGGTAGAAGCTGTTGGGTGCTGTTAGAAGCTCTAAGGAGCTGTTGGTTCTCTTGGAGGAGCTTGTCACGCTGGCTTTCCTGATGAACTCGGCTGTTCTCATTGTCGGAGGAGCTCAGGACCTTGTCACTGAGAATGGCTTTGGTTCACTTTCAGGGAGCTCTGGCCCTCACTTTGAGCATCGCTTCCTGGCTCCAGGGGATGGGGTGGGGAGATGGTGCACTGTTCATTCTCCTGGAGAAGATTGTCATGTTGGCTTCCTTGATGGGAACTTGGCTTTCCTTATCATCGGAGGAGTTGGAACTTCACTGTTGCTGAGGATGGCTATGGTACTTTTTGGGGGAGCTCTGGTTCTTACTTGAGCATCACTTCCTGGCTCCAGTGCAGATCCCTCAACCTGCTGGCACAGATCCTTCATCCTACTGGCACAGACTCTCTAGCTTCCACCGCTGACCTTTGGGCCTTCCAAGCGCAGATCCATGAAACAGGCCTTCAAGAGACATTGTTGTAGGCTCTAGGCCTCCAGTTGGACTCCTGGGAGGCATTGTTATGAGCTCTAGGTCTTCAGCTGGACTCATGCAGACGTTACCATGGGTTCTAGGCCCTTGGCTGGGTTCTTTGGCTATTACTGTGTGGACAGATTTCCTGTACTGTCTTTGTATGGGACTCTTTTGGTGACTATTATAACTAATCTTATAAAATAGGTGTCCTGTAATATATTGTTCCTCTTGCAAAACCTCAAACCAACACACTGTATAATATAACTTCAGGTATATTCAGGTATGGAATTGTGATGCCTCCCACTTTGCTCTTTTTACCCAGGCTTGCTTTTGCTGCTAGTAGGTTTGTCATAAACGTCTTGTATCAGATTGAGATAAGGTCCTTTTATATCTATTATCGTCAGTGTTTTTATTATGAAAGGATGTTGCATTTTATCAAAGACTTTTTCTGCATCTATTGAGATGATCATGTGATTTTTATCCTTGCTTCTGTTGATGTATTACATTTATTGATTTATATATGTTGAACCATCCTTGTATTCCTGGCATGAAGCCTACTTGGTGAAGATGTATGACTTTTTTTTTTTAGGAGCCAAATATGTCAGCTTTCACTGAAGTCACTATGTTTAAAGGCAAAAAGAAAAACATGAGATGAGAATGGGGTAGAACGAGAGCTGGAGAGAGATCCCACATCCATGCCCACGCCAGAGAGTTTATCCCCAAGAACCTTTACTAGATGTCCAGGGGATCTGCACTCCAATTAGTCCTCTACCTGTAGGTGCTAGGGGCAAAGGGGACCTCGCTGATCCAAACATGCATTCCTTCTGTGCCCAGTTTTCAGGCTCTTTCACAGAAGGAAGCTGGGTTGGCTAGTCCTAGGCTGAGAGGAAAGGAGAATCAAAATTACATGGTAAAAGGAAGTGTGGGAAAGGGAGGCCTAGGAAGGAAAGCTTAGAGACCCAGGCTGGGAATCCTATGGGAGGAGGTAGATTCCCACAAGAGGCTGGAACAGGAGGCTGCCCAGGGGCAAGGGCAAGGGATGAAGAGGTTCCTTTCTTTTCTGTTGATCTGTTGTGCATTCAACTTTAGTCGGTGACATTCATCCTGGACACTGCTAGCCTGGTTCCTCACAGCTCAGGGCACAGCTAGAGCCATCTTGGTTGGAAAAAGTCCCTACATGCAGAGAGAATGATTTAGGGGAGAATAGGGATAAGAGTCTGGAAATCCCTGATAAGCTGGCCTTCTGCATGCTTGGCCCATTGGTCTGGGGTGAAGGTTAGATGGAAGTGTTGTTCTCAATAAGGGGAGGGTCAAAGTAGGTGTAGGGCAGTGCCTGGTCCTGGTTCTTCTCCCTGAAGTCTCAGTATCTGGGAGGCAGTTTTGGAAGACAGCGATGCTCTGCTATGGCACTTCTTCTGAAATGTGGATCCGGGTAGGTGCCCAGATGCCTCTGGCCCTTGGGCTCTTGGCTGACCAACCAGAGGAGAAGAAGGTTATTACTGGTGACATTCACTTTTGGGAAGGTTTCCAAGTAATTCTTCAGAGTAGTGATCCCCTGGTTCTGAGGTGGGGGTTGCCTCCTGGATGACGGGCCATTGGCCTTCCAGGCCCCAAAGTTATGCTGCCCACCACTGACAGCAGCATGCTGGCAGAGCAGGTGAAGAGAATTCCAATGTATGACTTTTTGATGACTCATTGCATACTGTTTGCCAGTACTTATTGAGGATTTTTGGTCTATAGTCATTAAAGAGATTGATCTACAGTTCTCTTTTTTGGTTGGATCCTGTCAAGTTTTGGAACCAGGTTAATAGTAGCTTCCAGGAATAACCTTGAGAGTACTCCTTCCCTTTTGATTTCATTAAAAAGCTTAAAGATTGGTGTTTCAACTTCCTGAAAGTTTTTGTAAAATTCCGCAGTGAACTCATTTAGATCTGGGCTTATCTTAGTTGCTAGGTTATTTTTTATTGCCTCAATTTCACTGCCCGTTACTAGATTACACAGGGTTTTCAAATCTTCTTGGTTCAGTTTTGGAAATTTATATGTATCTAGGAATCTTATCTACTTCTTCTAAATTCTCCAATTAATTGCATACAGATTTGGGAAGCAATTGTTAATACTGTTTTTTTTATTTCAGCAGTGTCCATTGTGATTTCACCTTTTTCATTTCTAGTTGCATTGATTTGGGTCTTTTCTCTCCTTTTTTTATTATGTTGGCTAAGGATGTGTCTATTTTGTGTATTCTTTTGAAGAACCAATCCTTAGATTCATTCTTTGTATTTTTTGTCTCAATTTCATTTATTTCTGCTCCAGTCTTTAGAATATCTTCCTTGTACTGACTTTGGGTATGGATCATTCTTATTTTTTAGGACCTTGGTGTGCATCATTAAGTTTATTTGGGCTTACTCTATTTTATGATGTGGGCATTCACAGCTATACACTTCCCTGTTCAGGCTGCTCATAAATTTCGGTATATTGTACTGGCATTATCATTTATTTCTAGAAACTGTCTTATCTCTTCCTTGATTTCTTCTGTAATTCTTTGTTTAGTTATGAGTGTATTGGTTAGTTTCCATGCACTTGCATTTATTTTCTTTTGTTGTTGATTGATTTATAACTTCATTGCACTAAGGCCTAATAATATGCATGGTATAATTTTAATTATTTCATATTTACTTAAGCTTGCTCTACTGGATAGTATGTGGTCCATTTTGAAGAAAGTTCTGTGTACTGCTGAAAAGAATGCGTATTCTGGCTTTGGTGGGTATGTACTAGGTCCATTTGTTAAAAGATTTTTTTTTTCAACTCTGATATCCCTTTGTTGTTTTTTTATCTAGTAAATCTATTTGTGATAGTGTGGTAATGAAGTTCCCCACTATAATTGTGTTTATGATTCTCTGATATTTTATGTCCAGTAGTATTTGTTTTATGAAGTTGGGTACCCTGTTGTTCAGTGCATGTATGTTAATAATTATTATCTCTTCCTGATGGAATGTTCCCTTAACCAATATATAGTGACTCTCTTTCCCTGTTTTGATCAGTTTTGGCTTGAAGTCCACTTTATCTGAACATAAGATAGGTATACCTGCTCTTCTTTTGGATCCCCATTGTATGGAATATTGCTTTCCATCATTAATTTTTAGTCTGTGAGTTTCTTTTTGGGTTAAGTGTGTTTCTTACTTTTTTGTTTTTGGAGTTTGTGTGTTTTGTTGTTTGAAACATGGTCTTGCTATGTAGTCCAGGCTGGCCTTGAACTATGTAGCTGAGGCTGGCTTCAAACTTGCCTGGATCCTCCTGGCTCAGTCTCCTGAGTGCTGGGATTACAGGCATGCACCACGTCTGGCTAAATTTGTTTCTTGTGTACAGCATACCACTGGATTTTGTTCCTTGATCCATCCTGCCAAATAATTTTTATATTATATAAATATGATTATGTTTTCTTTTATATTAAGCGTAAGAAAATGTGTAGAATGCTCAACTAGAAAACCAAGTTTCGAAAAGAAATTAAATATAACCTGTTGTTTTTCTTTTAGGAAGACCTCTCTCTTTGCAAAAATCTCAGTGTTTTATATTTATACGATAATCGTATTAGTCAAGTCACTAACCTGAACTATGCCACAAATCTGACCCATCTGTACCTACAAAACAATTGTATTCCATGTATAGAGAACCTCAGGTCATTAAAGAAACTGGAAAAACTGTAAGTGCTTTTATTTTTGCTTGTCATCATTATAGTATATGTTTTTATGCAGGCAGGTATTTCCATTCTTGGCATTAAGTTCCAAAAGTAAGTTGAATGTATAATTGAGTTTCATTTTCTTACATTTATTTCATATGAACTATATTCCTTCATATATAATATTCAACAATTTATGCTTTATTAAGCATGATATACTTTTCTTTTGGGGAAGTAAGTTGTCTTATGGGCTTATCAGGACACCTAAAACATCTTAATGTAGGTTCAACTGTTGAAACTTTTTATGGAACCCAGAAATTATTTGTGTCTTTCAGAATAACACATCTCAAAAGGTCCAGGTCATAAAATGAATAATTTTGATGTAAATTTGATTGTAAAAATGTCTTTAAGCCTGAAATAATTATAATTATATACTATAATGAGGTCTGTAAATACAAGTTCCTCAGATTGGAGTACCTACTGTGCATCTTAAAAAGTGGGCCAAAGGCCTCAGAAGCGGGTGGAAAATGCTTACTAAAAGGGCAAAGTACTGGATTCCAACATAGCTATTCAGATCAGAATCTCCAGGAGTTAGGCTCAGAAATCTTGGTTTTTAAACCTACAGCCAGATGATTCTTCTGTACCCTAACATATGAGGAACACTTGCAGATAGTTTAGTAAGAACTAAATATTCTCTCACTTTAAAAAGTGCTTTTTAGACTAAATTGTTTAGTTTAATTTGTTATCATTCAGATAAACCTTTCATTGTTTCAAATATAAACTCAATATTCTGTATGTATAATTTTATACAGCTCAGTAATTTTGTTATTACATTCTTATTCTGTGCCATTGTCAAAAAGTCTATTTAGAATTATGCCTGTGTTTTCAGGTATTTGGGAGGCAATTATATTACTGTCATAGAAGGTTTGGAGGGATTAGAAGAACTAAGAGAGCTTCATGTTGAGAGTCAGAAGCTTCCCCTTGGAGAAAAGCTTCTGTTTGATCCAAGAACTCTTCAGTCTCTGGCAGTAAGACCACATTTGAATATTCTGAAAAGGAATATAATGATGAACAAATTATAAAGGAATAGGAAGGTGGTGAAGGTATATTCGGACACTGTGCATACTCGGCCTGCTTATATGGCCAGTTAAGAGTTTACCTGAGTTCTGAAGCTCATTTTCCCCCATAAAGTCTCAGAGTATGACAGAAGTATAAAGTTGGATAATGACATCCTCCTCTTGGAGTAGCTGGAAGGATCAAAAGGGATGTGGAAAGGTTATGTAACCTGAAGTTCTACTGTGGATGTTAATTCATTCATAGTTTGAGCTTGGGTTATTATCATGGCTCAAATTTTAATAAAAAAAGGTCTGAGGAAGGAGTACATAATTATTTGGCATCTTTTAAACAAGCTAGAGAGCCACCGTGATAAGTCATTTTCCTCCAAAACCCTGATTTGATAAATTGCACTGTATACAAATTTGCTTCATTAGAACCACACAGGCCAGGGATTACCAGGGTTGAGGCTCCGCTAAATTGCTTCACAACCAATCCCATGGCAGGAGGTGCCACACTAAATTGAGAAGCCAGGTGGCTCCACGGAGGCTCTTGCTAATCCTCAAAACAGGAGCGAGGACATGTTTGGCGGAGCGTGGGACATGGTTGTTATGTAGATTTCATCAGTTTTGTTTTAGAGGGCCCAGCAATGGTGAGCAGTAGATGGTTTTTGGACCAAATTTGCAAGAACTGAAAAGTAATTCTTTTAATTGGAAAAGAAAGAAGTGGCCTGCTTTCTATTTTACCCCCTCGCATAGAATCAGGTGGCACAACCGCAGCTCAACTCCAACTGATCCAATTAGACGGAACCCCTGTGGGGACGGTCAGTTTTATTACAAAACACCGCTGAAAACATTTTTGCTAGTTCAGTGTTTGCATACGTTCAAGCAGATACCAAAATTTGAAGTATAGGACATCATTTTTTCAGTGTTATTTCAAGCTTTAAAGAGAATCAGGAAATATATTTTTTCAAAGTTGGTTTTGTGTGGCTGCCTCAGTGGAACTTGACAGAGATTGCTTGGCCTCAGATTTTTAAGATGACTCTGATTTAGTACTGCTGTATTGCATATGTATGTTTTCAATAATAGCTAACATTAAAATTCTTATTAATTAGCTAGCTGTTATTTCAAGTGGCTTTTGAACATATGGATTGTCAAGAAAAGATTATAGAGAGAGATAAAGATAAAACCTGAATATTTTTCATGCTTGGTTATGTTTCCTCTCTAGAAAAACAAAAATTATTTTCCCAACATGTGAAAAATCATAGCAATATTTACTACAGAATGGTAATTTGCCTGAATCACAGTAAGCAGTTTTTTCTATATTGTGCTACCATTTGTTTATTGGGGAATTTTTTTCTTTACTTTTGATGCTTGGCTTCTTTCCTCTATATGTATCTTATATCCTGGATGGGAAAAATGGGACTTATGGAGGAATTATAGGCAAAAAGAATAAGTTATATCATATACTAGAGTCTTAAAAGTTCCATCTGAAAAAATATAGCATATATCTTAGTTATTTTCTCATTGCTGGGACACAAATCCCAACACCCACAATTTAAGGGAGGAAAGATTTATTTTGGCTCAGAGTTTGTATGTTTCACTCCATAGCAAAAGGGACATTACAGAGAATTACTCATAGTATGGCAGCAAGGAACAGAGAGAGATCAAGTGCAGAAGGAGGGAGATGTACGCTTCCAGGCCACACCCCCAGGGACCCATCTCCCCTATCCAGGCTTTAGCTCCCAAAATCACATTTAGCTATAAAATTACCAGTGGACTAGTCACTCATAGTGCATGAGAGTTAGGGGGGTCATGTACATATCAGCCATAACAGCACTGAAACAAAATTTCCATTTTTACATTTTCTTATCTAAAGAGCAGAGCAATCTAAACCGATATATCTTAAACTTTTAAAGATTGGGAATACATATATGACTCTCTAATGTTAAATGCTAATTTAGTTATTTTTCTTACAGAAATCCCTCTCTATATTAAATATCAGCAACAATAATATTGATGACATAAGAGATTTAGAAACACTGGAGAATCTTAATCACCTTATAGCAGCTGACAACCAGCTACTCCATGTGAAGGTAGGTCTCCCATCCAAGTACTAACCAGGCCCGACCCTGCTTAGCTTCCGAGATCAGACGAGATCGGGCGCGTTCAGGGTGGTATGGCCATAGATTCCATGTGAAGGTAGGTGTAAAGAAAATTTAATTCAAAGATATTACTTGAAATTTTTTGAAATATCTATGAAAGATATCACTTTTTAGAACTATCTTGGGTTGGTTCTAAAGTTGTCATGAATCTCTACTTCTGAATGTAAATATAAATGTTCATGTGTCTGCCCTCTTACCAAATTTTCTTCTCCATACCCCATTGCCTCCATCTCTTGCCAACAGAATGAAAGTTTCTCTGAGAAGGACCTGTGTGATTTTCCCTGCATGCATTAACTGTCCATCAAATTCTTCCTTTTAGAGATAGATTTCTTGCCCCTTAACTCGGATTTCCCAACTGTGACTACACATGAAGTGTCTCCTGGCTATTCCTGCTTGAAGTACTCTTGGCATTGGATTTATTCTAATTTGTGCTAGCTATACTCATGCCATGTTATATCATATCATGCCACAGTCATTCAATCACTTATTTATTAAAATATATATGGGACTCCTACATATTTATCAGGCACTATGCCTTAGAGGAAGGAAGGATTCCATTCCACTCTGTAAGAAACTTAGTGTACATGGAACATGATTCTGAAGAAATGCAATGTGATTCTATTTTCATAAGTATGGTAACCCTGACATAACAGCCAGAGACCAGGAAAGGCTTCCTGGAAGTAGTTATCCATGAGCGGAGCCACTGTTAAGACCTTGAAGCTCCTTGTTTGTAAGGGGTATAATTCATTGACAGAGAGATCCTTGGAGGAAGAACGGGCTTCTTTCTCCCATACAGTGAGCCCATATTCTCAAAATTACTTCTAAGCCGCATTCTGCTGACCTTCAAAATGTTACCACAGCCTTAGTTCCAAATTAATACCTATTACTGGTTCATCCTCTAACTGATAATAAGATAGAGATACAGAAATGAATTTCTCAAAGTATCCAAAATTCCATTGAACAATCAGCGTAGATGTTTAAAATAAAAACATAAGGAAGCACAATTCAAATGTGTTTTAACTTACAACATGAAAGACAGAAAGATTTCATGGGATAAATTCTGAATTCAAAAATATTTTAGCTGGACATGGTGGCCCACACCTGTAATCTTAGCACTCAGAAGGCTGAGACAGGAGGATCACTGTGAGTTGTAGGCCAGCTTGGGCTAAAAAGTGAGTTCAAGGCAAAGTGAGTTCAAAGCCTGAACTTCCTAGTGAAATGCTGTCTCAAAAAGACCAAAAAAAAAAATTTTTTTTTTTTTTTTTTTTGGTTTTTCTCCGGTACCAGGAACCAAACTCATGACCTTGCACTTGCCAGGCAGGCGCTTTGCTGCTGAGCTAAATCCCCAGCCCCCAAAAAAATTTTTAAAAAAAAATTTTAGAGTATCTCCTAGACTTCTTTATTGGGCATTTTGTATTTATTATCAGAGTTTTTTTTTTCTATGATGCTGTAGTATTTATGTCAATAATACAATTTTATGATAGAATGAATGGTTTTATACCATATATTAATTACATCAATCCTAATCAAAGTGATGGAGCCTAGAGTATAGGGGTTAGCAGAGTGCAGGTCCGAAGTGTAGGTTATAGCAGAGATCTGGGCTATGTGCTGTGTTCCGCATTCACCTTCATGGGAAATGGGAACCGAGTGGCCAAGCAAGGAAGTTTCCTTTCCCTGAGAGAGAATGATGGAAAATTACAGTCTCCCAAGTTGGCATTATCAATCTTAAGTGCAGGATAAGGATCTGCTTAGTTGTTAATTATCATAATCACCAAGATTCATTTCAGTCATTGTCATTATTCTTAAAAATCTTATTCTATTACGCTTTTCACTGTGAACAGGTAAGGGGAGTGTGGTAACAGGACACAACTGCTAGCCTCCACATGACCCTAAGGGAAGTTTTCCTGCATGACATGTAATCAAGCTGTTTGGCCTATAAGGATTATTCTTAGGCCATGTTAATAATGCATAGCTAGAACAAATGTGTAACTGTAATCTAAGAATCAACATTACAATAACCAAATTCTCATTTTAAAGACTGAACTCAGTGTCACCTTTTTCTGCTTTTCTTGAACCTCTTCGTCAAGTTAATCAACTGAAATATTCATTATATTCTGTGTGCCTAACACTCTGCTAGGTCCTTGAGGAAACATATCCTAGATACTGGTCTTACTATAATGAATAGGTCTCTACCCTCACAGAATTTACATTACAGGGAAGGAAATGGTAAAATACAGAAGCACATAAGATTGTGAGAAGTGCTATGACTTTCACATAGGATAATGTAACAGAAAAGAGGGCAGTGGATATTTTAAATTAGGTTATCGAGAAAGGCCTCTGAGGAAATGATATTACACTGAAACCTGAAGAATGAGAAAAGAAAGGTGTACACAGAGCCAAGGAGAAAGGGTGGATGGAAAAGCTCCAAGGCCAAAGACAGTTTACAGTAGTGACAATGAACCTTTCAGAGCCTTCTGTGATAGCAAACAGCCCATTGTGGCCTGCGTGCCGTCCGTGCACCACCACTGGTTTAGCGTCCAAGGAACCAAAAAGATGCTTGTTCACTGCGGTAAGGTCCTAGTGACTAACTCAGTTTCTTTTTTTTTTCCCCTTGGGGATGTTGTTTCATTTTGTTTTTATTGTTTTGTTGAGACACAGACTTGCTATGTAGCCCACACTAGCCTTGAACTCATGGCGATCCTTCTGCCTCAGCCTCCCAAGGTCTGAGATTACAGGTGTGTATTACCACACTCAGCAGTACCTAGCTCAATTTCTGAGGCATTGGAAGTGCTCAATAAATAATTGATGAGTAAATAAGGAGGTAACAGAACAATATGAAATTAAAAAGAAAGGCACATTAGCCTGGTCATAAAGTTACTTTTAAGACATAAGTACAAATTTTGACTTTTTCTAATTGTAGGAGAAAGCCATTGAAATGACTATATTTTTGAAAAGGATTTCTTGAAGAGTGAGTTTCAAGAATAACAGCAAAGAATAAGTTGGGAAACTATTGTAAAAACTAAGTAACAGAGATGGTTGCTTGGAGATGGAGCATAGTGGTGCATTGGAGGTGTATTTTTAGCCAAACCCCATAGAGTTTGTTGATGAGTAGGATGTAAATATTAAGGAAAGGCAGGAATTAAGGATGACTCCTATGCTTTTATGTGAGGAACTGGAGAGACAATGGCCGCCTTTATGAGGTAGGGGATCCTAGAGGAGGAAGAAAAGTCCTGCCTTTGAACACACCTATTGAACATTAAAATGGACATGTCAAGTGGGCATCTGGAGTTCAACAGAGAAGATTGATAGGTTTGAGAATAAGCAACATTTAAATAATATTTAGAGCCACTGGACTAGATGGAAGAGCAGATAGGGAATAATGAGGCCAAAGCCAGGCATGGAAGCCTACCAACATTTACAGAGCAGTCAGAAGAAAAGGCTCCAGGAGGAGTCAATAATATTTGAGAACAGAAACTTGGGCTTCAAAAAAGAAACAGTGCCCACTTCTACTGAATGAAGTTGAATGGTTAACATGAGGACAGATAAGAGGTTAACAGAAATGTTTTAGATTTGGCCATAGTGAGATTGTCTCTGGTCAAGTATCATCCTTCTTGCACACTTCAGGACAGAGTACTTTAGCACGAGTTCACATTGTTTTCCTTTCTAAGCAAACCCACTTCTTTCCATGTGTGATGGTTTGGATATGGCTTGACATTATCCCTCAGAGGCTATGTGCTATGGTTTGACATTGTCCCTCAGAAGCTTGGCTCCAGTGTTGTAGTACTGAGGGGGTGAAACTTGCGATTGAAGGGGATTAGGTCACTGGGGCACCACATTCAGAAGGGATTGACATAGCTGTTGAAGGACCCACAATAGTTTCTGTTAGAGCAGATGGTTCTAAAAACAGTGAGCTAGCCCCCTACATTCCTCTGACTTCCTGTCTCACCATGTGATCTCTTGCTCTTGAATACACTCCCCCCATGATGCCATCTGATATGTGAGATAGACACAGGGCCTTTACCAAACCCAAGCAGACCAGCACTTCGTTCTTGCAGCTCCAAAAGGGCGACCTAAATGAATCTCCTACAATACTCAGCATAAGGTATTTTGTTTTAGCAACAGCAAAGTTTGTAACTTTCCTCAGACATTTCATGAAATACTTTCCCTATACCTAAAAGTTCAATATATAAGCTAAAGGAAAAGAGAAGGGAAAATTAAAGTACTAACTGGAAAAAATACCTTAACAACAAAGTTATAGGGGACAGGTTTAATTTGTGAAGAACTTGAACAAGACACAGGCTGTGGGTCAAAAGCCACAGTGGAAGGTAATATTGAAAAAACTGGAGATTTAGCAAAAGACTACACGCTAAAATGTGAGAGGGCCAGTGCTTCTCTGCTCTCTCTCCCACACAAACCAAGTTCTACTCCTGTTAGAGCAGATTTTAAGTCACACTTTGCTTGTGTGACTTAAAAACCTTGAGCAGCACTGCAGGATTTCTCTGTAGGAAAACTGATCAACCTAAGAGAAAACATCTCTCAATTCTCACATTTCAGGGCTCCACAGGGGAAATGAAATTGCTCCATTGGAGACCAAGCAGTCATAAGCCTTGCACTCATGCAAAAAATTTCTCAGTTCACTTCCATGAATTGGGACCCACAAACATGTGAAAAGAGTATGTGTGTGTGTGTAAAAGAACTCAGAAGAAACTGTGGAAACAGAAAAAACTATTAAAGTACCAGTCTAATTTTGGCAATAAAAGGGAACGAAATGCTGGTTCATACACAAGAATGATCCCTGAAAACATTATGAAAGAGACCATTACACAAAACATTGCATGACCCTATTTATATGAAATGTATAGAACTGACAAGTTTGCAGAAGCCCACAGTAGACTGCTAATTGCTTAAGACTGGAAGACTGAGAGAAGATA